AAAAAAATTGTATGCAATTTTGGCATTAGTTTTGTATCTCAATTGCCAAATTATAAAAATTAATGTTTCTTATTTTTTGTTATATATACAGTATGAAGTTTTTCCAATATATACAAATAAATTAAGATAATTTGCAACATTTTGAAGTAAAAGTAAAGGTCTTTAGAAGGTCATTTAATGCATGTTTATTAAAACAGAAAATTTGGCAAAATCTCAGCAGTCAAGGTTTTAACAGTAGCGTTGTCAAGGGGAATAAGAAAAGAACTTCCGGGGTTAGTAGTTGAAAATTTGTGAAAATTTTCTAAATCGCAATAGTTTAAATTCTATTTCTTAAATACATAACCTCAGCAGTTATGATTGCATATGGGAATAAGATGTATACTTCTGGGCAGAGTAGATAAATATTTGGAAATTTGCAGAGGTTGCATTTGACTGATCTTTGTCCCCTTTAATTAAATCGCCAGCTTTCCATAATAAACATCAGAACTATTCATGTTAATCAATGATTCTCCCATGCCTTTAAATTCTCAAAGTATAATGCAGAATGATATAGAATGACATATAATGAATGACAAAGATCTGTACTTCGTTGATTGTTTTAGTCGCACATCAAACATTTACCTATGGTGAGAGCCGTGAGTAGATTGGCATTAATCCTTATTAATCTTAAGAGACTGTATGTCTTTTTCTTACATATTTTCGATGGGATTTGACTTGACAAGTAGCGGTGTATGTTTCCTAATAATTTAAAGAGAAGATAGATATTCCTATCTATGTTATTGTTATGTTTTTCAAAAGCGTAGGTCAGTATGGTCACTTGATCACCTTCATAATTTCTTAGATTTATTGTGAGATTTGAAGTTTACATAAGTCTACATTGTCAATTTCACTTATATACATTTTGACTTTCATTTAGATATGTAATATCATGGCATAACGATATTACTTTTGACATCAATTGATGGTAGTATGACTGTCAGCACAAACATTTTTGCTGCCTCATAGATTTTATTTTAGTTATGTTTAAAAAGACGCTTTAATTTTCCGTTAGTCCAAACCATATTTTTTGTTAAAAGTGTTTGAGAACACATTCTCACCGATAAACAATTTATATATATATTCACAGCATATTCTTATTCAATCACACATTGTTTAATTTCGCTTAACAGAGATATTGACCTGGAGATCAAATAAAAAATCACTATTGCCAACGGCTTCTACATTGAGCTCAGTAGTTAGTTGAAATATGGAACTCAATCTCATTCCTAACGGATATTAGAGCCTAGATTTCTGTATTTTAGACAAAGGTTGACTTCAGTAAGTAATTGGAATGTAGAGTTCTTTCTGGCTGTAAAAATCTACGATCTACAGTTCACTTATCCTATTTGTACAGCATTCAGTGTTCGGGAAAAGCGTCTTATATGATTTGGCGACAGGTAGTATATTCAAACGAACCGCAAGCTGTACGAGTTTTGCCTGCAGATTGACTTTCTTTATGCATTGGTTTGGTGATTTTAAGTCTTTTGATGTTTTCCACCTACTGTAAAATATTGCCGAATATTGAGTTTGGACTAAATATCTATTATTTTAATTCTTTGGTATATACTCCTGGCAATATCAGTTTAAAATACTACGTTAAACCAAATCTAGGCTCAATAGACACTAGAAAATATACTTGAATTATATTAAATTTAAATTCGTAAATGAATACAATTAAATGAAATTGCCGCACATATATTTATAGATTTACTTAGATAAACTATTTTAAAAAAGTGCTACATAAATGCACAGGAGTACATGAGACACTATTTTAACGTTAATCCATTATTAAACAATATTGAAATATTAGACCAATATTGTAGCCCTTACTTCAGCCGTATTTTGTACTTAAATAATATATACAAATCATGTAAATGTAAAAACAATTTAAATTCAATGTAATTATACGATTTAACAATGTCGGTAAAGCAGTTCTAAAAAAAGTAAACTGCCTTATTTGAAGACTCTTAACGTTCCTACCAATATTACCATAAGCAATTTCTACAACGCTTAATAACTATTCAATTCAGCTGTGTAATACTTATTAATTTTTTTATTATTTATGTTTATTTTTAATTGTTTATATATATATTTATTAATACGTATACAAACTTATACTGAAGCGATTATGCGTAACAAAATTAATTTGAAGTTTATTTGGTTTGCAAACCTTTGTCAAAGATCGTAATATTATAATATTACGGTCTTTAGTTTTGTCAAATAATTTCCCTTAAGCTATTTATTTGGCTTTTTCCGTTTTTACCGTAAACTTTGAAACGGTATTTATTTATTTGTTTAAAGGCAAACTGAGGTGTCAATTTTTTATTACAAAAGCTATTAATGAATTATTGTATTATTATTATTTTTGTGGATATAATGATTGTTTAGAATTCATTTTTAATTTTAAAATTTGAATTTAAATATTATTATTAATTAATTTTATTATAAATAATCATAATGAAATATGAATATCTTACACGGAGTTAAGATATTAAGATTAAAATTAAGAGTCTAGTTGTGTGTAGAGTTTTTGTTGAATTTAATTGTGTTATTTTTATTATATTTTTAGTTAGTTGAAGTAGAGGGTGGAACGAATCTTTCTCAATTAGTGAAAAAAGCCGTTTAGCATCCACAATTTCTCGTCTAATTGGGTAGTAGAATAGAATGTGGAACTAAAACCCGCCAGAAGCATTTATTAAATATATTGTAGTTTGAGCAGAATAATTTAATAAGTTACCTGTTTCTGGCTTTAGTGAACTATATCATTATATCTAGATCAGCATCATTTGATTATTTTAATTATTAAATGTCAATATAGCAAGTCACTGATCGGGTTGATTGGCGGAGGCTACTGGTGGCGACCAAGGACGACTTACGTTTGTAATGGCCAACTAATTAATGAAATGTCAAGAAAAAATTGTTTCTAATATTTTTCAAAAAGCTATTATATTTTTTTCCTGATTACGACTATATAATATTAACGAAATAGTTTACAAAATAAAAAATACAGTGGTACCAGTTCAATGCGTGACAAATGTTACGCTGTGATTAGGCAATAAAGCCAAAAAGTGGTCTAGTACTTTTAAAATAAAAAATAAATCATTATAACTACTACTTTAGATAAATTTTATATACTGACAAATTTTGGCATAGAAATAGGTTTATAAGCAGGTATATAGTATCACATGCAGCTAACCAAAACTAAATTATTTCATATTCTTTTAATCATATTTCTGCTAAAGGTACATTTTTTATCAAATATGGATTATAGTTATACTTGAGTTAAAGAAGTAGTGCTACCGGAAGTTAGTATATTGGATCAAATGCATTATCGTTTGTATAAGGCAGATATTTCATAAAATTAGTGGGGTGAACACTTGTAGTCAGCACAGTAGATTTATGGATTGGCAGTAACCCAAGTCGAGCAACGGGCAAAGTTGCAGGCCTGCCTTGATATCAGGTACTTTATAGCAAACAATGATTTGGTTCTTCTGTCGGGAAGTAATTGGTTACGAATAATATATATTAGGTGTAATTTTGTTTATAATATGTTATTTTATTTGTTAGTTGAGACTCCAAATTTTGAAGGGTTGCTTGATTGTAATTTTTGTTCTCCCATATGGAAATATTGGATTGTTAACAACACAACAAAGAAGAATGCTCATCACATATACGCATATCCTAATCCATTAGAAATGGGCCTGATCGCATCCGCTAATAATTTTGACGAAGCTAAGAATAATGCTTATTATGCAGATACGCATCTAAAGTTATTACCGATGGGCTTGATGTAATATATTTAGACCTTCACAGGGTAAAGAAAAATAAATCCTAGCAAACTTTCAGGAAGAATAAATAAATAGTCCTTACCATTATAAATTACCATTAAATTGTAAACTCAATTATAGAATATTTATGTATATTGAATACAATTGTATTAATTCCATTATATTTTATAAGAAACAATTATAAATTTTAAAATAAATAAATGAATCGTGTAAAGAGTGCTTTATAGTTAGAGATATCCAGTCCAAAACTTTCTATGTTTTACATATAAAATTCTAAACATAATGGTTTTTTTTTTGTAAATAAATCATAAATGATAAATAACTTATTTATGTATCTATATATCATTATATATTCAAATTAAATTAAATAATCACAAAAAATTAATTGTGTATTTATAACAATTTTTAATTACAATTTTTTAAATAAAACTATAATCATTATACTCGTCAGATAATTCTTCATGAGAATTATATGAATACTAAATTTTAATAAATAAATATAATTAAACATTAAAATTTATATTAAACAAGTTAAAATAAATCTTCAAAAATTTGTTAAAAATAGATTTTTTTAATTCCGATTACATTATTATATTTTATCATATAATATATATTACTTTTATATATAATGAATATTTTTTTATATATAATATTCTGTTATAAATTATTTTTAAATAACTAAATTATTTCATATTTCATATATTATTATATTTTATTATATAATATATAGTATTCTTATATATAATTAATATTTTTTAAATATAATGTTCTGTTATAAATAATTTTTAAAAAAATAAATTATTTTAATAACCTATTAATTATAATACTCGCTAGTCAATGCTCTATAAAAATTATTAATAATAATAATAATAAAAATTTTTATAAATGTTATTATTTTATTTTATTTAATTAATTAAATTTGAAAATTAAGTCCATATTGCTTCAGTTGCCAATACTGCTTCAGTTATTTTCGATTTAAAAAAAAATCTTTAAGACAAACTTTAACTTTTCAAAAATAAAAGCTACCTTCCAATGTGATTTGTTTTTGTTTATGTTTTGTTTCATTTTCATATTGTCGCGCAACGAAACGCAACTGGAAATGTTGAAAACAAGTTTTATTGCGACTGTATCGGAACGACTGTTGGATGGTTTTGTTTAAATAATTTTATCAGTTCGTTGTTGGTTCGCTTAGCGTGTGGCTGTCTTGTTCAACGATTTGAGTCAGAAACGGAATTTTTGAAATAAAAAGTTTGTTAATTTAAATTTAATTTCAACACAAACACTAATTGATTATGATTGTGTGGAATATTAATTAGAATATAACTGAAAAATAAAAACAATTTTAAATAATGAATTGTTTTTATTTTAAATTATTTACTGTGTTTATAATAAAGTTTGTTTGAATGTACAATTTTTGAGTCGCAAAAACCAAACGTTATAAAAAAAAATTATTCTTGTGATAAATGTTTCTATTGTTTTCAATTGAAATCCTTATATTGCACACAGGCAAACCACAAATAATTAATATAAATAAATATAAAAAAAAAATACAGAAAGGGACTAAGCGATTTTGCGGCTTGCTTTAATGTGCATTTACATATGTGTTCAAACACTGTGTTCAGAAGAGGATAATAATTTTTTTCAAAAGTTCTTCAGAAACAGAAGTGCAGAAGTTAATTAAGTGTGAATTAATACAAAAACAAAGCAATAAAGAAATTATTTTAAATATTTATAAATAAATGCTAATATAAATGTTGTTTCATTTAAATAAATAGTTATAAAATATATAAGAAAAACAACACACTAAGAAAGGAGAAGAAACAAAGCAACAATAATGCCCCTTGTGGATTAACGCCACCACCATCTTGCGTCTACGGCTACGGCTACGCTACCTTTTTTGGCACAGACTTTGTTCATTGCCGCTATAAACTGCGAAACTTGGGTCAGATGAGATAAAAAAAGTAAACAAAGTGGGGAGCAGAACAAAAAAGCCAACAAAGTTCAAAGAACTTTTAAATAGAAATTGAATTTTCAGAATTATTTAAATATTATAGAAAGAAAGTCTTAAAGTAGATGTTGGTTGCATGTACTTACATTTATTTACATGTTATTCCTTGTACAATGTACTCTACACATAGTTACACATAAGGCTCCAAACTTGGTACATGTGTGTTGGTACTAACACGAGCATAAGTAGTTCCTTTTTTTTTTTTGTTGATATACATAATTATGTATGGTATACGGTATTTCCTTGAATGATGTCATCAATTCCAATTGCAACCGAATTTGTCCTTCGTTTGGTTTCTAATTTGTTATGTATTGAACTTCCATACGTACAATAAAAAAAAAAGACACAAAAATTGTGTTTAATTTATGACGTTATTGTCTAAAGCTCACCCCCTTCTTGCTTACCAAATTATTTGTTTTATTGACTGCTGGCAACCACTTAATTGCCACAAGCCGTTTCAGTTATATTTCGGTTTTATTTCTATTTAAATTCCATTAAATTAAATTATCAGGCCTATTCTGAATCGCAAGGGAATGCGAGTTTGTTCGCTGTTCCCAATTCCCCTATTCTGAATAAATTTGGTATGTTCCCTGTTCCCAATTCCCCTATTCTGAATCGCATGCGAATGTGAGTTTTTTCCTAATTTTGCACAAATTCTCTCGCTACCAAATTGTTGGGGAGACAAGTTAAAAAAGTATAAAAAATAGTTTAATTTAATATAAAAGTAACTGAAAATGATCAGATTTTTGAATATATTTTAATAAAATTATTATTATAATAAAATTATTACAATTAATTTAATATTTTCAAAGTTTTATTTTTTGATTAGTTTTCCGAATATATTTTAATAAATTTAATATAACAAAATTTTCATTTAATATATTTTATTAAAATTATTATTTTAATAAAAGTATAACAAATTTGAAAAATTTAAATTTTTATTTATTTATTTTATTCACACGGGTTTTTTCCACTAATTAAAGTGTTAACTATTGTTTTTAAAACAATAGAAAAATGAAAGGAAACCAAATTCTGAAATAAGTGGATTCCTAGAATAAGTTAAAATAAGTTAAAACTGCAATTATGTTCAGGTAAAACATTGCTTCTTTTATATTGTAAGATCTTTATAGGTATAAACTAGTATTAGTTCATTAATTTAAGCATGAAGGACATTTCTATCCTAATTATATAAAAAAAGTAAATTATAATTTACGCAAATTTTGTATAAAAGCAGTGAATGTTTGAAAATAAAGACATTGAAGAATTGATATCATAACGTTTTTGTTTTTTAATTAGTTTAAAAAAGAGTTAAAAATTTAGAATTTAGCATTTGGTTTATTTTGCTCATGCATAATTCTTTTTATATATATGTATTTTACTCATTAAAATAAAAGTTTCTAATTGTTTATTATTTACTCATAAAATAACTTATATTTATTTCCGATAATTTGTGCAGCAAACAAATAATGCGATTTTTACATTTAAATCAACATATGATACGCAATTCTTTTCTTTGTTTTGCTCATTTTCTCACTTTTCGTCATTAAAAAGTGGCATGGTTGCCAAAATTTAACAAAACAAATTTGAAATTGTTGTTGTTCACGAAACTGCTGTCTCCCTAGCGATTCAGAATAAGGGAGCTGTGTGTTCGGGAACAGCGTGCGAATAGGGAGTTTTTTCGCTGGGAGTATTCAGAATAGGCCTGTATATCAATGTTCATTTATCCTTCCTTCTTTTTTAGTTTTAAGCATTAACGACTTTTTAATAAAAATTAAAAATTATTTGATAAATTTAAAAAGATATACAAACAAATACAACTGAAGGATATTTACCAATCAGCTATAGAATAAGGAATTTCCTTTTCGATCAATTATTTTCGTAGAGTTTGGAAACACGTAAGGTAAGTGTTAAAAATTTTATTATTATTTTATTATTAAATATATATATTATTATTTTATTACCAAAAATGTTGATTTTTATTATTGAATATATATTATTATTTTATTATTAAATATAATAATAAAATAAGTTCACTTATTCACTACTGATCGAAAAAACCTCTTTGTTATTAAATATACATTATTATTTTATTATTAAATATATATATTATTATTTTATTATTAAATATATATTATTATTAAATATATATTATTATTAAATATTATTATTATTAAATATATATTATTATTTATTATTGAATATATACATTATTTTATTATTAAATATATATTATTATTAAATATTATTATTATTTTAATTATTAAAATAATATAATTATTTGTTATTAATATATATCACATTTTAATATTAAATATTTAATTATTATTATAATAATATAAAAAATAATATAAAAATTATAATATAAATGTATATATTATTTTATTTTAAATATATATAATTATTATATAATTAAAATATTTATTATAATTTAGTATTTATTTTTAAAATAATAATTTTTTATTATTAATATATATTATTATTTTATTATTTAATAAAATATTTTATTATTATTTAGTTATTTTATTTTTAAATATATATTATTATTTTATTATTAAATATATATTATTATTTTATTATTTTTTTTATTAATATTATTTATTTTACTAATATTATTTTATTATTTATTTATTTTTTAATTATTTGTTATTGGTTTATATGATATTTATTTAATTTTTATTTATATATTTATTTGTGATATAACATTAAAATTAATTTTAAAGTTTACTAAGAATAAAGAACTGGACTGCTAGGACATTCGCCCTGTATTATTTCTTTTAAAGTGTACTAATGGGTTCTTTTTAAAAAATTATAAATTTTTATTTTATTCTAATATTACCTCCATAATAGTTATCACAAAAAAAGCAAAGTTAAATTGTTTTAAATACAATACTTAAAACAAAAAAAATTAATTTAAAACATAATGTAATACGAAAATAAAATAAATATAACAAAAATAAATATAATAAAAAAAATAAATAAAATAAGGAATAAATAAAACAAAGAATAAATAAAACAAAAAATAAATAAAATAAAGAAAAGATAAAATAATAAATAAATATATATTATAATTATTATTTGCTTGATGTATTTACAATGAATTTATTTACAATACATTGGGTAAAGACATCGCATAGGATAGAGACGAATTTTTTCCATAATTATTTGTCAAGAACCTTCTGCCGGATTTCGCTCCATGAAATCTTGAATTTAACTAAAATAAATACATAATAAATGAATTAAAAATAAAATAAATTATAAATAAAATAAATTAATAATGAAATAAATAAAAATAAACAAAATAAATTAAAAATAAAAAATAAAGTAAAATGAAAATAAATAAATAAAATAAAATATATGCAATAATATAAATAAAATAAAATGTTATAAAAACAAATAATTAAGAAAAAAACTAAATGAAACATAATATAATATAAAAAACAAATTAATAAAAAAAAGAAATTAATAAAAGAAATAAATATAGTAAAATAAAAAAATAATGTAAGAAATAAAATATCATATAAAAAATAAAATAGAAAGTAAAATAAAATATTATAAGAAAATTGAAAATAAAATATAATAAGAAAAATAAAATTGAAAATATGATAAAAAATAACATAAAATAAAAAATAAAACGGAATGCAAAATAAAAAGGAAATGAAATAAAATGAAATAAAATGAAATATAATGAAATAAATAGTTATAGAAAAAATATAATACAAAAAAATATATAAATAAAATAAGAATTAATAAAATTAGAACAAGAGATAATAAAAGAGAAAAATTAAAATTGAATAAAAAATTAAATTAAAAAAATGAATTAATTAAATATAAAAATTTATTAATTGAATTAAAAATTTAATAAATAAATTAAATAATAAATATAATAAATTAATTAATTATAAAATAATGAAAAAGTTATTCAGACAAATGTTCAAAAAGTCCTTGCTTGGACCTTGGAATAACTTTAAAAATTTCTATTTTAAATCCATATATTAGGTGAAAGTCATACTAAAAATTTATTTTTTTATTATTAGTAAACTTAAAGGTCTGATAAATTATATTTATGAAGATATCTTATACTCATATCCGACGTTAAACTGTTTTATTTGTAATTTTAGTATTACATAAATTTCTCTTTAAAATTTATTTTGGTCTCCATTATTGTTGGCAAAAATACATTGTAGAACTACAAGTTAAAATTTTTAGTACATTTATTACATATTCAATTTTTTAAAAAAATTTCTATAAAATTGCCAGTTCAATTTAATTTTGGATATATAATAAAATTGCTGCTGTAATAGCCTTGTATATTATCAATTATTTATTTTATGCTATTAAAGTTTATTATATTTCAGTTTTTGAATCTTTAAAAATGTGTCACTATTTCATATGTAATGTGTAAACTGCTCTATAAAAGTCTAGACTTAATTTTGTCGCCACCAAAGACACCAAAGAGCTTTCTTTTCTTTTTGCTCACTTTCTGCTCTACTTTCAATGCAAATAATTTTTTTTATTTATAACTACAGAAATATCATCATTAACAATAATAATAATGTATAATGAAAATAAATATATTTGATTAATTAATTTATTAATTTAAATTGATCACTTTGACTTGAAAACATTTTATATGTGTTTGTTAAAGCCGACAGAACATTGACTCTTAGAGACAGATGAAACCTTTAGTTATATTATTTTGACTAATCATTGATCGGGAGTTCTAATTCTGATATTAAGAAATTATCAACAGGCTACATACGGCTCAAACAATATTTTTACTGTTTCTCTGATAATAATAATCTTTTCCGATAATAATTCGTACTTAATAATATAGTACCGTCAAATTAATAGAAGGAACTCTATTACCAGCTCTTTTAAATCTCTTATGGCTATACTAAGTATCTTGGTGTTTATCAAGATTAGATAGTTTGATTTAGGTAAGCACCAAGATAACTCAACATATCTCAACTGAAAATCTTTATGGTCAACACTGTGTACTTTTATTTGGTTTAATAACAAAAGTTAATAGGTCCGACCAATCGCTTTGTACTGCGACCACAAATGGAGTTATAGACTTCTTCTAAAACTTTTTCGTTTTTATTTTTTTTAACTCAAATTATAACTGAATAATTGTTAATTAGTTGCTTGATTATCTCTTAGTTTTCATAGCAATATCTACATTTATCTGGTTCATAGATGCTTAATCTATGCAGGTGGTAGTTGAAGCTCTAATGCCCTGTAGTTATTTCGCATAAGATGCTGTGCTAAGTAAGTTTTTGTTTTCGATTTATTGTTATATAAGTTTTACAGTAAATAAGTAAATATTTATATTTGTAAAATATATGTACATACCGTGATGAAGTTTATTTTTTTACTATTGAGACATTGTTAGTTATGGGAATATCGATCTCCGAACTTCATAAACAAACCATTTAAATTATTTTTAATGGTACTTTACTTAATTTTATTTTATAAGATTCAAAAATTATTCCACTCTTTATGCAATACCCATTTCCGTTTATATATTGGATATCATATATTCCGTTAACATATAATAAATCATATATATTATAATAATAATCATATTTACAATTCTCAACCATTGATGTACAATATTCCAGGATTATTTTAAGCATTAGAAGTTATTATTAAATTCAATGCAATATGTTTTTTATTTATAAAAATGAAATGGATAAAAAATAGTTGTGATGAAATAAAAAAATTCTGTACAGCCCATGTCATTGTTGTCTACACCAGACAGTTTATTACAGGTTGCTCTTTGATACTTTATCCAAAGGACACGTTGTGTGTCATGTGTGGCGTTGAGCACAATGTTTCAAAGCCTTACTGGTATTATCAATGAGGAAATGTTGCTTCAGCCATCCATACTCATATAACATGATGCCATTATTGTATAAAGTTTAGTTTAAATCAAAAGGATGTGCTTGTGTCATTTAGTAAATGACGACGTTACCGGAAATACTGCGTAGTATAACGTTAACGTTAACGTAAGAAAGTGGCAAGTTGTTAGGAAGCAAAAAAAACAGCCTAACTTCATTTTCAGTGTAACGTGACTCTTCTGTTTTTGTCTGATGAGGCACGTTCGACCCAAAAAGTATTAAAATAAGAATAAAATTTCGCATTTGGATCGATATTGGAAAAAAATTAACATTAATAATGCCTTTTCGAAGTAAATACAAAGCAAAAGTTTACCAATTCAAAATCTAATAAATTTTGTTGGTATATTTTTATTTTAGCAAATGACTCTATTCAAAAATAATTTCTGGTTAATATTTTCGGAAACCAATTGAAATTCGAAATGCCTTACTATTTGTTTAATTGCGAACTGGTATATTGAGTATCTATATCTGTATCTTTGTCTGTCTGTATGTTTGCTTGATTATTTGAATCGGTGTACTTAAAATAAACATCTAATACTCTTAATTTAAATCTTTCAATATGTGTATACAAATATATATATGTTTTTTTATATATATATAAAATAAAAAAACAAAAACTTTAATAAAATTCACATTTGTCATTTCGAAATGGAACACAGAAAAGCTTTAGATCTTGAATGTACTCGAAGTTAGCTAAAATTTCTTTTCTTATTTGCTGAATTCGTTCCACCTTCCTTTGAATTTTAAATGAGTTTTTGAACAGTGGCGGTTTTAATTTAAGGCGATTAAAGCATACAAATTTTTTAGTTTGTCTACTTCTTGTTATAAAAAGAAATTAAATTTGTTTCTTATATAATATAAGAATATATAAAATATACAAAATAACTATAAAAATATTTCTAATAAGACTTCTTTAAAATTTTGTTTTGGTGCTGTGCAATCTTTCGTCATTTGAATATTTTTATAATGCCATTGTTTAGTACAACCAAGATTCGATTTT